TTTCTTTAAGATTAACTGGTGCCTGACCCTGCCTAGAGAAATGGTGACAATCTTAACCCACAGTGCATACAGGCCTTCATTAGCCAGCAAGGTCTGGAGGCCAACTCACAAGCAGTTCCAGATTCTACCACCCCTTCCAGAACCAAACAGAAAACTAATAAGCTGCGACTCAGCAAAGAAGATTCCTTAAGACACGGTTCCGTTTCCACAGCAGTACTAACACAGCTCACCGTCAGAATAGGTGCAAATCTGTCTAAAAAGTAACATGAAAGAGAAGGTAGGTGAATTCTCTTTTATTTGGGCCACCTTCTGTTGGTGAGAGAAAGCTTTCAAAGGATCATCAAAATTGAAATATTTTATAAGAATGTGTCAAAATGGAAGTAGAAATTTTGGATAGGAAAAAGGTGAAATGAATTGTTTCAATTTCCTCATTTCAATAAGGTCAAAATAAAACATTGCTGATTGTTTTGAAGTTTAGAATATATTTAATATTAATTTGAAAACATTAAATGTTATGCTTCAACATTATCAACATATTTCAGTAGTTTTGAATCAAGTTTTCAGAATTTTCATTTCCCAGAAAGTTTAGAAAGGTTTACTTTTTGTTCTACTGTAGAATGAAAAACAAAATGTTGGGATTTCCCCACAAAACAGAAAATCCAATTTCTAAGCAAGCCTACAGTCAGCTGCTCAGAACAGTACAGCTATGTGAGAATGGCAGAAAGATGTGATTTCATCGTTCAGAGAGAATATCTAGCTCTCATGAGAACTCAAGTCATGTTTACTCTAGAGGTGCTACATTTGCAGCTATGATGCTGCAAGTAGTGTAGTGTAGGCACTGTCAAGAATTGGGGCCTGCAGTGGCTTCAGTCTCCAGGCAACCTAGTAAGTGCAGCTGGCCTGTAGTAGACTGTCTACCTGGCTACATTGCCTGCTTTTGGAAGAGTCAGCAAATGGGCTCTCACGCCCAGCAGCAGTGGCAGTTCAAGTGGCTTCTCAAAGCATTTGCCCAATGCCCATGGATGTGACAAATCCTGCCCTTGATTGGTCCCAACTATGCCCCCGCTGCCTCTCTCACTCCAGGTAACTCAGTTTTGATTCTTGGCTCTGATCCGGTCTCTGACCAGTAGGGATGACTGCCCACATTCCAGTCACTGACACTTTCTTTATATTGATGGAGGGGTTTTCCATGGATGTAGATAATCCATCTCTGCAAGCAACAGTAATGAAGTGGACACCAGAGGTTAGGTTTTTCTTAACTAGGGTGCTCAGGCATGAGTTTTCTCCACACCCTGAGCAATGCAGTTAGATCAATCTATGCTTAAAAAGTTTAAGCCAGGGCTCAGCAATTCCTGCAAATACAGAAGTTACTAAGCCTATCCCTAAAAAGGTCTATCCTGTCATCTGAAGAAGTGGGTTGTGCCTACAAAAGCTCAGGATACCATCTACATGTTTGGTTAGTCTTTAAGGCGCTACTAGACAGAGTATTTGGTTTTTTTTACATTTTTCCTGTTACAGACTAACTCGGTTACCCCTCTGAACGTAACAAGACGGTAACTTCATGAGCTCCACTGGGGACACTGCATGGACAAACTGGGAACTGCAATATTCTGAAGCTTCTCCAGGCCTGGGCCAACAACAGTGCCTGCCCATTTCTGAATGCTCAAGAGGACTGGGTTTCACATGCTGGAAACCCATAGCTCCGGCTGAAATCAAAGGGAAGTAGAGGTGCGGAGATCTGCTAGCTCATCAATCTTGCATGCTCTATAAAATTCAGTGTGCCACAATTATTTGGTGGCCCTTTCCCCATGTCCCCTCTCTTCCTAGCTGCGGGGAGGAAATAGAAAGGATGTCTGCTGTGCTGCTTATGTGCTCTCAAACGTAAGGAGAAAGTATTTTTATGTGCAATGAAGGGTCCCAGACATGGGGATTTGTTCTAATCGGAAGAAGACTGTTCAGACATGGCAAAGCCGGGGACAACATTAGCATTTGGGGAAAGGCCTTCAAAACACTTTTGGCATCTGCCCCTCTGCCCACAAAACCAATTCCTAACTTTCCATGGGAATTGCAATCTCCTACCTCCACAGTCAGGGCTGGCCTGAGCATTTAGAGAAGGGTTAGTGAAACTATTTGGGGGGCTCCTCCCAAAACTTGGATGCCCCATTTAATATAGGCAGTGTCATCGTAGCCGTGTCGGTCCCAAGATATTTAAGAGACAAGATGGGTGAGGTCACATCTTCCATTGAACCAGTTTCCTGAAGAAGAGCTCTATGTGGCTCAAAAATGTGTCTCTCACCAACAGAAGATGGCCCATATAAGTATTTAACATGAGGGTGTAAGAAAGTTCAGCTTTCAGATAGCTATAGGGTTCCCATTTACCAGTTTTTAAATGCATGTATCCTCAGTAGCTTGCCAGAGACACACAAGAAGTCTACAGTAAAGCAGGGCCTTGAAGCCAGGCCTCCCAAGTCCTAGGCTAGTGCCTTAACCACCAGCTCATCCCTCCTCATCTCCTACTGCTGGAAAGGGGCAGTCCTGCCACTTGTGCTGGTGTCTGTGCAGTTGGCAAAATAAGCCTCACAAGAAAAAGTTGTTCAATGAGCCACGGGGTCTGTTGGGACATGTAACATGAATACAGGTCTGGGATGGTGGTAAGGATTTCCGCCACAACAGGCATTACCCTTGGACATGCTCTTTTTGCAGCCTTTAAAAAAAAAAAAAAAAAAAAAAAAAAAAGAGAGAAGCATGCAGCTGCTCTACTGCGTTGTGGCTTTTGCTTATCCTTATTGGTGCTGTATAAAACATCTTCAGGGTTAAATTTCTTGTAATCTCTATAACCTGCTGATTTAGAAAGTGTTGATTAAATTAGAAATTCTGTAAATAGTAATTAGGGGTGGGTATAATTGTATTTATTATTTGCTTATTAATATTAGCTAACATTACTAAATAAAGCTGTAAAAAAAGTAGTGATAAACGTGTGAATAAACATATTACAATAGATAAAAGGATAGAAAAAGTAGTGATAGACGTGTGAATAAACATATTAAAATAGATAAAAGGGTTTAACTAATGCTAGTTTATTGCCACTCCAGCTCCCATCCCACCTCCCTACCTTCATGGCATCCCGTATGCTGTCACTCCAGCTCCCATCCCACCTCCCTACGTACCTTCATGGCATCCCGTATGCTGCCTTACTCCATCTCCAGAGCTTGTGTTCAACACATTGTGTTGAATGTCAGAGGTAAACGTGTGTAGGCAATAAAGCAGTTCTTTTTATCCCAGCCACTCCTGGGTCACAAGTTTCTTCTCTAACAGGGTCTATATGTTTCTAGGCACTCTGTGCACTGTACTGAATTACAACATCTGTAAAGTACTGCAGAAGTAACTAGTAACCACACGGTGGCAGGTGTGTAAGCTCAAAACTTGTCACTCACCCCAACAGAAGTTGGTATCGTACTAGGCCATCTCACTCTCCACGTCATCTTTGTTCAGTTTCAACCTGTTCTTCCTTCTGTTCCACCCTTGACCGCCCCCCTTTCCCACCACAGAGCGCACTACACAAATGTATTTTCAATGGGGCAAGTATGAGCACCAGTACCTATCTTACTCACGGGTCAAAGCGCTGGCTTTCCTAGCAGGGTTTGCTCGCTTGTCATGTGCCATGGCTTGGTTATGTCTACAGACTAGGGGAGGGTGTAATCCCAGCTCTCTGATGGCCCATTGCCTAGGTCAGCATTCACTAATGACACATTTCTGCCTCCACCATCCAAAACAGGCACCTAAGGCTCACTGGGGTTGCTAGTAATTACAAGGATCCCCAGCATACCTGGATGGCTTTAGATTGCCATGCTTTTTTGTGCTGCTGCTTCTCTTATTAAAACAGGAATCTCAGGGGTGAGAAATAAAAGAGATCAGTCTCTCCTCAAGAAAAGGAATTGAAGGCATGTAAGAGTGCTCTTTGCTGGGCTGGATTCCAGCTTCTTCCTGGCACATCTCTGGCTCCCAAATGACAAAGGAACTAACAGACAGGAGCCCGGTAGTCCTGGGAGGCAGAATCTAGCCACTGGCACATGTGATGAGCAAGCAAACCACAGTAAGGAAGCCAGTGCTTTGACCCATCAGTGAGGTAGCTAGGTAGGTGCTGCATATTTGCAAAGTGTAGGACCCACTGAAAAGAACACTTGTGTAGCGTGCTCTGTGGTGGGAGTGACAAGTTTCGAGCTTATACAGAGCTCTTTGAATTGCGGGCAGACTAGCAAGAAACATTTGGAAATCCGTGCAGTCTATTGAACTGTGCCATGCAAACCACATTTCCAGCTTCTTCCTGGCACATCTCTGGCTTCCAAATGACAAAGGAACTAGCAGACAGGAGCCTGACTGCAGAGATACTGAACCTTAGAGCCTTAAGAGATTAGTGTGTGACAAGGTGGGGGAGCCTCATCTTGGTTTTCACACACATCCATCCCAGATAAGCAACATTTCCATTACAGTGGCTGACTGATCAGCAGCCTCAAGGTACAGGTAGAACTAACTACATGTGGGGAAAAAAGCATGTTTGTGTTTGGTTTCAAAGACCCAAAACCAGTCTGACCAGCTGGAAGCTCAGTTTCAGGTTACACCCTTCCCTTGCTCCCCCTGTGTGTTAATGGGAAGCAATCTCATTCCCAGAATGCCTGGGACCTAGTCATTGTCTATGTAATGAAGCATTTCTACTGCATTCAGCATTAGAGTATTTTGCACTTACCACCCCCCTAATCGTGTGGAATCATTCCTCCCCCCCATGCAGATACCACAGAGCCACTTCAGTCTCAAGCCACTACCACCAGAGCAGGCAGGCTGGTGCTGGGGTGGCAGAGGGGAGAGACTCCTCATGGACAGAGAGGACAACATTCCTCAGACACTTCTCTCAAGCCAGATAGAGATGAACAACATTTTATTAAAACCTGCATTTACAGAGGGAGCAAAATCAAGAGTGAAGGATTCTTACACAAGCATGGGGCGAAAGGCACAGGCGGCTGGGCAGGGAAGAGATGTTGCAAGGCAGACTAGAAAACAGAGTCTGGCATTGGCAGACACTTAGAAAGGTGTCTGCCTGCCCTATGCCCAACCCTTCAGGGGGCAACTGTGGATATCAACTCTCCAATCAGAGCACCAGCAACTTGGGGAGAGTCATCTCCAACCCCATTCATTAAGAGGCAGCCCTGCTGGACTCACTCCCCAGGGGTATGTTACTCCATTTGAGAAGAGATTATGATCACAACCGTCCCCGGGACATCAACTAGCACCAGCCCTCCACAGCCACAAATCGCTGGGGTTAGGGTCCCACACACTTGTGTGCAAACATAAAAAAAATTCTGTACATACATTTAAACATTTTTACAATTCATAAAAAGAAAATGATCCAGGTTATCACTTCATAGTGACTATTTTCAAAGCAGCAGACATGGGGAGCGCAGGCTCCAATCCCAGTATTAACCAACAACGCTTCAGAAGCATTTCACAGAAGACGGATCCTCACCCAACTAGAAACACAGAGCTGGGTTCTGTTCTAAAAGCAGCATGGACTGTTAGGTGCAGTGGTGCATGGCTGAGGTGACAGGGCCCATCACTCACAGGGAGAAGCAGAGTAAAGGGCTTAGTCTCAGCCTGGGGTTGGGACTGCATAATCAGCAACTCAACAAGAATGTGAGCAAGTACAGGGATTAGTATCCAGGTAAATTCTCCGAGCCTCCCGGAGCTGGCGCTCGACTTCACTGCTAGCAGCTGGACTCACCTTGTTCCAGTCAAAATAGGGATGGGAGAAAAAAAATAGCATAAGAAAGAAAGCAAGGTAGTTTTGCTTTCCTCTGCACAGCCCAAATTGGGGAGCTCTCGGGTACATCAATCAGTAGTGGGGCACTCTGGCATTGCGTGGGGTGGTCAGCCTCAAAATATTAAATAAAAGAACATTCACAACAAAAGTTACAAGCCAGCAACACTGGGCTGCTCCAGATAGCCTTCCTCAGTGGCAGAGCTGGGCTATCACCTGGGCAAATCCAGAGGCACCTGAGCAGTTTCACCAGAGCTGAGGCTGGTACCCTCTGTAGTTTGAGACAATAGGCCAACATACTCGCCCATCCTCCTTCCCTCAATTTCACCACTGTCCATCTTTGGGGCCTGGGTGGGAAACTGCTCGTTTCACCCTGTATCCTCTTCCTCCAAAAACCTAATCTGGTACCTTGGGCTGCACGGACTGGCCCCTTCCCTATGGTGGAATTTGCCATGAACAGCCAACAGGTGGCAGTAGCTCAGCACAGCTGAGGCAAGGCTAAACATGCCAGGGTGGAGGTTCCATTAACTCCCAGGCCTCACTAGAAAACTAGGGACTCCTCATTCACTTTGAGTAAGAATATACCTGTTTGCAAAGAGTGTTCAGAGACCAAACTGTCCTCCTGAGAAACAGACATGGGGCAACCCTTGAGGAGGGGAAAACAAAGAAGGGCGGAGGTAAAACTTACTGCAGATCATTTGGGAAAATGTTAGCTGCACATTTCTGTAAGATCTATTCAAAACTCAAACAGCAATGGAAACAGATGTTCCACCCTCTCCTGTCATAGGAAGAGCAATCATTTGAAAGTGACAGTTCACAGAACTGACTGGGCTAGTCATGTGAAGCATACAAGCCCAAAATCTGTCAGTGAGACCCCCGAGTTTGGCATTGAGACAGGACCAGCTAAGGCAAGTGGTTTGGGGGTGGGGTGGATGTGAGGAGGTTGGTGAATAGACCCAAAGCAGGCAGATGTAAATGTCACAGGAAAATTAAAATAGCTCGCCCTGAGTGTGCTGGTGGAAAAATTAATGCCACACAAAGGTCAAAACAACCCCTTCAGCAGATACAGCAAATCCTTTCAGTTAAAATGGAAGGCCACTCTCACAGAGTGGAAGGCACAGAAACATTCAGAGCTGTGTCTAGATTGCTTGAGACGGGGAAGAGGAAAAAAGTCAAAGGGTGAACTAAAATCCTTCCCCATACCTTCAGCTTCAGGAGCAGACAAGCACATGGGGCTTGGCTTGTGCCAACTGCCACGCTACAAACATCTTCTAACAGAAAAAGAGGTGAAGAGTTCTTCAGGCTTAGGCCTTTGTTTCTAACACAAACAGTATATGGAATTGTGCCCGATGAGCGGGAAGTACTTGGGGGTCAGATGGGTTTGGTTGTACTGTTGTAAACCAGGTGCTCCGTGTCCTCTGTAGTAGAGAGGGTTGAGTTGGTAGCAGTGGCAGGCTGGCGTCGCCGGCTGTTCTTCTTTCTGTTCTTCAGGAAGAAGTAGCCAATGATGACCAGAACTATCATTATGCAGATACAAAGGACCACTGCAATAGCCACCTCGAAACCACCTGCAAGGGGGACACACAGTTACAAGCTCTACTGCTTCTGTGGTGGCATTAACAGGCAAAAATGAGCAAGAAGTACAGAGCTCCTTTGCCTGGTGATGGCAAAGCAGATTGTATCAATGTTCAATAAGGACAGTGGGATATTCAGCTCCAGAGCAGGTAGAGGTGAAGAAAAAGCATGATCAATAAGGGGCTGGTCAGACCATACAGAGCTTTTCGCTTCCAGGTCATGGTTCAAGTTCCACTGAGTCAGCTCTCAAACCTATCATCATCTGAAGGCTGTTCAGCTACTTGGAGGTTGGGCATTCATATTAAACAACCAAGCCTCTCCTCAACATCAAGGGGAGTCTCTGCGGGGAGGCTAAGTAATGACTGGGCTTAGAGAAGGAACCCCAAAGGGATAGTTCCTCCAGATAAGATAGATTGGCAGGAGAGTGTGAGGAAACCTGTAGTGCTACTACCCAAGCTATAGCTGTTCTGTGTATCAGTCTCCAGTGATGCTAATGTAACCAGCACCGAAGTCAGTTAAGTGTGGCGAATTTGAGGACAGGGGCAAGTCTGAAAGAAACAATTATTCTGGGGGGCTTTGGAAATGGAGAAGAGTCATTTTAGGAGCAGTTTACTCTGGTAAAAAACAGTCAGCACAGGTGTGGGATGGATGAACAGGCAAATCACATTAAAAACAGGAGAGTTGTTTAAGACACTTATCTTCAGGCTCATTACAATTGTAGGGAGGAGCTTTAGTATCACTGAACACATACAACCCCGCCCTCACATCAACCAACATTATTCAAATACCCAACTGTGTCTCACCTATCAGTTATCAAGGTTACAGCATGACATTCCAGCCTGGCTAGGAGGGTGGGCAGAGAGGCTTTCCTGCTGTTGTTTGAAGCCTACAGATTATAGGGCTCATGTCTCTTCTTCCTGTTTCACCCCTGTGTAACTATGGAGGTCAACTGAGTCACACAGGAGTGAGAGAAGGGAAGCAGTTGCATAGATCTTTTTCCCTTGTCTTATGCAGACCACACCACTTCCTACGTTAGATGTGTTGTGCCTCTTTTCCCCCATAATGAAGTGAAATACACGCCATGAAAGTGCGAAGGAAAGGTTGTGACAAATATGACACTTGAGTAGAATTATTACTTACTCAAACCAACTGGATCGTTTACATGTGCTCCCCATCTCTGGCCAATCACGTCCGCCTCTGCACAGGGAAAAAAAAACCAACAACAGTCTCATAAGAGAGCTGGGATCATGGAGGGAAGACACCAGCCTCCCAGGACAGTCTCATGCTGGATTCAAATTGCATACCTGAGTATTCCTTCCAGCACCCCCTCAACCCAGGTAGGGCATAACTGTCCATTCCTTGCTTCTCTCTTTCTCTACAAATACATGGTTCTGGGGAGGGGAGAGAGTCCCTTCTGACAGCCTGTGTAGGGGAAAGTGTACTCTTGGACCAGGAGGTATTGATCCACCCAACACTTCAGAGAAGTGGCAGAGCAGGAATCTCTCTACCAGGAAGCTGCTTCCTTACAGACACAGGCTAGTGAAATCCCTTCTTTGGGCCCCCCACACTCTGACAAGACACAATCTGGACTAGATCATGTAAAACTCTAGATGCATGTTTTAGCACATCTGAACCAACAGTCTCTACAGAGAGGGCCCAGAGTTTTGGGGCATGCGTCTCCGCTACCCAATATTTCATTTAGCCTCCTGCATCACTGTATCAACATGATGAGCCTGAAGAGGGCAAAAGAGATACAGTTGCCAGACCACTTTATTCCAACCTCAAGAGCTATTGGAGTTTTCTCTGGCAGGCCAGCCAAAAGCCAACACCTTGAATGTCAATACCCAAAATGCTCTTCCAGTTCGCAGCAGTAAAGGAGCTCAAGAAAGGAGGGTGTCTGGGTAGTTTTTACTACAGAGTATTATTTTCTGGGTACTCTGTGTGAGCAATCTGACAGAATGAGGTATTTTGTGGAGAGAAGCCAAGATTAGAGAGCAAGGGTCCAACTCATGTTTTGCAGAACTCCGGCCTATTTGGAGCCATAGAATTTAGCTTAGAGGATTTCACAGTGGCAGAGATGCTGGCTCCCTCACCCCATAAGATCCCTGCTTACTTGTGATGCCTTCACAGGATTTCAGACACTCCTCTTCTTCCTCAAAGTTATTTTGGTTGCCTTCACAACCCCCATAGGTGAAGCGGTCACATTTCTCAGTGAACGGGTTGTAGTACCAGCGGGGTATGCTATCTTGACACAGCCCAATGTCTGGTAAATCCACACAGCGACCTGGCAAAGCAAAACAGGTGTTGGGCTCAACCAGCACATTTATACAGTACAACTCCTCCAGCGCCCCATGTGCCACTGCTCAGTCTCCAAGACACTTTGTGGCACCTATTTCTTAGAGCAGGGGTTGGCAACCTTTTCAAACCAAAGAGCCAAACTACATCAAAATTCAGAACAAGTGGTCCACAAAGAGCCGTATAAGAATACCCATTTGCATGATTAAAAATATACAACTTAATATTATTGATAATGATTAATAATAGCATAAATGAAACATTGTATTCACAGACTAATATTTAGTGGGCCTTCTGTTGTTGCATCTTTTCATGCATTTCCTTGAAGTTTATATCGTAACTGGTCAAACCCTGCTTGATTCATGCTGTCCTCTGTTGTTCTTATGGCAGGGGACTGGGGTTGTTGTGGTGCAAGAGGACTGGGGATGTGGCAGTATGAGGAGCTCAGGGCAGGGGGTTCAGGTGTATGATGGGCTCAGGGTTGGTGTGTGGGGAGTCCAAGAGTGTTATGTTACTTTAGGCAGATGGGGGCTGGGCCCCAACTGGGGGCTTGTTGGCCAGGCTTCAGGTTTTAAATAAGGTAAAATATTATGTCCAGCACAAAAGGTTTCAACATTGTCTTTATTTATGGCAGTGGTGGGGAATCTTTTTGGTTTGGGGGCCACTGAATTTGGGTGAAAGAGGCAGTTGTGGCCTGAGACTGGGGTGCAGGAGTCTGGATTGTGACCTAAGGCAGGGGATTACAGTTCAGGGGTTTGGATTGTGGCCTAGAGAAGCAAAGGATTGTGGTCTGGGGCAGAGGATTGGGGTGCAGGGTCTGGGAGGAGGCATGGGCTCAGGAAGGGGGCACAGGGGATGAAGGGAGGGGCTGGGTGCCAGAGCCAGGCTCTGGCAGGGAGACTTACCAGTGAGACTCCAGAGCAGCAGTCCAGAATGTTTCTCAGGATCCTGGCCTGGCCTGGCTCCCACCCCAGGCTGCAGGGCTATGTGCTCTGTGAATAGGAGCCTAAGAGGAGGGGGATTGGTGCTTCGCGCACTTTCTGTTCTTGAAACACGCAGCTTCCATTGGCCACAAACTGGCCAATGGGATTGTGCTGGGCATGGGAGCAGCCGTGAAGCACCACTCCCTGCTCCCTTCCTGGCTCACAGTTTGTGGAGCACAAATGGCTGAGCAGATGCTTTTCTGAGTGGCATGCAGGGGCAAGGCAAGCAGGGGAGTCTGCCTGGGGGCTCCCTGCTGTGACCATGGGCTGGATTGTTTTGCCCAGGCCTGCAGTAGCACCAGCACAGGGCTCCCTGTTGCAGGGGAAGCCAGGGAAGAGGGATTGGACTCAAGCTTCAGAAGAGCCCTGCCTCCCTCGTGAGCCCTATTTGGCTTGTGACCCATAGGTTGCCAACCCCTGTCCTAGAGTGAGCAAAGGCCATCAACATCCGATTCATATAACTGACAACCAATTCCAGCACTGGCAACTCTCATAGCCCAGGGAGTGGGGGAGGGAACATAGCCGATTAGGGCATTTTAGCAGAGGCAGGAAGGAGCGAATGGGGCTCCCATCATAAGAGAGATTCCAGTGCCCCCTCCCCTCAGTAAGGACCTGACTACAAAAGGAACTGACAGCAACAGCTACTCCAGAATAGGTCTAGCATGTTAAATTCACACCCCACCTTATTCTGGAATCACTTCCCTGTGAAGACAGCCCAAAGCATGGAGGCTTAAAGAGGGTAACTCTCCCCTTTCCACAGAGCAGGAGAGCAACCACTGCAATGAGCAAGAGCTAACAAGCCCAAGAGCCGTGGCTGGTAGGTTAGAATGGATATTTGAACACAAGGAAGGGGGGGGGGGAGAAAAGAGTCCAAAGTTAATCTTGAGGTTCTCATCCATCTAACATTGCACCAGGACCTGGCTGCCAAGTGTTCAAAGATCACTTTATAAGAAGGACATTGCCAAGCAGAACTGCCACACGTCCATAAGTCTCCACAGTAACTAGATATAAACACCAGAAGGCATAGGGCTGTGGTCTAGGCATCAGGTGTGGTACTAGAATCACACACTCAAATTCTTGCAAAGTTGAGCATGCAATTAAATGTTCCAAGTTTAGACAGAGATGCAGCGAGTGTCTTGCAACTTACTGAATGGGGAGAATAGGGTAGGAGTTTTTTGGAGGAACATGGCACTGCTTATTTTGTTTAAGGCATTTTACTCTGGTTATGCCTCCTCTGTACAGTTAGGGGGTAGGGATGGCTCATTGGTTTGAGCATTCGCCTGCTAAATCCAGGGCTGTGAGTTCAATCCTTGAGGGGGCCATTTAGGGATCTGGGGCAAATCTGTCAGGGATGGTACTTGGTCCTGCTGTGAGGGCAGGGGACTGGACTTGATGACCTCTCAAGGTCCCTTCCAGCTCTATGAGATTGTATATCTCCATATGTTATATTCAGGCAAATGAACAATGTTGAAATAGATTCAGAAAACAATTTTAGATCCAGTGTCAATGGGATTGGTCAGGCAGTGACTGGCTTATGCTAGGCAAGAGTCCTTCTCTGGGACTAGGTAACTCCCCACTATGCATTAGGAAAATACATGGAAGAAAGCTAAAGTAACATTTCAGGATACATACTTTGCTCAGTCGTAACATTGATTTTCCGTAGTCTATTGAATTCCAATGCATCTGCAAAAAGAAAGAAACAGCTCATAGGATAGAAATGTGCACTCTCCGGCTCAAATATGAAAGAAACTCCTCTCAAGGTATGTGAAGAGAAAGGTCTTGGTGGGACACTACCTAGCTGCTCTCTTTTCCCTTCTGCTGTTATCATATATAAGGCATGAAAAGAAGTTATAAAGCAAGGGCCACACATATTTGAAGATAATTTTAAAAAGTCAAGCTGGAAGAGGAGTTATGTATGGAATTGTGACTAATAAAAATAATGGGATCAAGTCAAGGAAGGGAAAGTTCCTTATCAGGAAATATGACCTGACAGCAAGTTGTATTTTGCTATGGAATGGCCTCCCAAGTGAAGGTGGGGAGGGTGAGGGTCATGTTACTTCAGGCTTTTAAAATCAATACTTCTTTCTTGAGCATCTCAAAGTGAGGACCTACAGAATATATGCAAGCTGTAGGACAGGAAAACAGAAGAGATCCCAGGAGTTATCTATCATGACCAAGAAGCAAGGGGGAGGTTAAGAAGTTCAGTGTTGTGCCACATCTGTTAGCAGGACATCTCTGCAATGTTTAAAAGACTAAAGCTACGTCTATACTACACCTCTCTTCCGCAAAAGCTTATGCTTAAGCTTATGCTTAAGCACAGATTAGCATATTGCCATGCTTCATTTGCATCATTAATTAGGGGCCGTTTTTGAGCAAGAGGCTTTTGCGCAAAAAACCCCTCTTGCACAAGAGCCGTTCTTCCTCATTTTTTCAGGAAGAACGGCTCTTGTGCAAGGGGGTTTTTTTGCACAAAAAGGAGCGGTATACACGCTCCTTTTTGGGCAAAAGCCTCTTGCGAAAAAAAGGGTCCCTAATTAATTATGCAAATGAAGCACAGCAATATGCTAATCCGTGCTTCATTTGCATAAGCTTTTGCAGAAGAGATAGTGCAGTATAGATGTAGCGTAGGAGAAGTCAAGGTGACAAAGAATATTTGGAGGTTGTACATGAAACCATGAAACCAGGTTGCTCAGGGATAAGATAAGGAAAAAAAGGACAGGACAGAATATTGTGGGTCCCAGACAAAAGTGTAGACTGTGAAGGAGAGAGTGTGAGGAAGAATTCAGGTGGTAGGAGAGTCAAGAACAGTGTGATCAGCAGTGTTGGAACACAAATACTAGTGACTGGGCAGTGTTGGGAAGATGTTTACCGGTGAGGGATAAGACTGAGTTAGCAGACCAAAGTACTACGCTACAATGAGCATTAAGTAAATGGGATCCACAAGTGTCAAGTGAGATGTATCCAACTTCAGGCACTAAAGTCGGGAAGCTCTGGCCGCAGACATCCAAGTACTTACACATCTCACAATCTGCTTCATCTGATCCATCGGCACAATCTGAAGTTTCATCGCATTCCAGATAACTATCAATGCAGCAGCCATCTTTGCATTTGAAGTGGAATGGCTGGCAGCTCCCATTGCACACTGTATACAAAGAAAGATTATTGGCTTTGGAGGAGGGGAGGTTTACCAGAAATCCCTGACCTCCTGGCACCCAGATACCTTGTGAAGTGCTTGTGCCAACCTGGGAGTTTCCTGGTGCATGGGAAGCCTGACAGTACTTCCTTCAAAGTCCATCAATGCCACTCCCAAGGAAGTCAGTGTGGAATGAAGCAAAATACCATCTTTTCCCAGGAAGTAAATGTGTTCCCCTTTCAAGACTTGGAAGTGCTAGCCATAAAGCCACAGAGATGAGATTTTAGCCTCAATCTCCTCCCCTGCCTACCCCCTCATTCACACTTACTGAACAAACTGCACATTAAACAGAGGTATGAGAAACCTACCTGGCTGGGCCCGCTCTCCAGAAGAACCTGGAGAAAAGAATAAAGTTACATCATTTTGGTGAATCAGAGTCTGTTCTATATTGTCTATGCCTCACCCAGGAAGTAAGGCTACTCTAGCGCAATGGCTCCCTGGAACAAGCATATACAGTTTGATTGTTTACCAGAATCCTATATTGCATGTTACAGGAGGGCCAAGGCCTGTGTGGGGAGGGAAGCTGGGAAAAGTACTGACTGCTCTGAAGTCCCTCCCATCTCACTCCTTCCCAAGATGGTCAAGCTCTTTCCTATCTCCATTCATCTGCCCCTTCCTTAAGCTCAAAGGCCTGGAAGAGGCACCATGAATTCATCACATTGCAGGCTTTGCTGATTGGCTCTTAAAGGCTGTGCTACTGCTATCGGGTGTAAGTAGAAAGCTGAATTTTATGGGAAAGAGGAATTTCTGACTCCTCCATGCCAAGTTATCTTGTTCCATGGCTACATGTAGAGGTGGCAGAAAGAGGATTTTGAAGGCTAGTCAGTGGCCACAGAAGTGTAGTAAACAGACCTTGAACGAACTTTTTCACACCATGGTGAAGAGCACTGGACTATTAGATACAAACCTCAGACTAACCAGCATACCAAGTGCATGCCAATCAATGGAATCAACTCACACTGACCTCGGGGGGTTTTCTGTAGATGGACTCACCTTGAACATTCTTGCAGGCAAGTTTACACGCTTCTTCCCAGACATAGTTGTTCTTGTTGGCCTTGCAACCACCAAAAGTGAATCTCTCACACTGCTGAGACTCTGGATTGTAGAACCAGCGGGGAAATGACCCACGGCACCGACCCACCTTTTTAGGTGCCAAGCAGAATTCTGCAATGTAAGAAAGACACCCCAATGCCAAAAGGCTGCATACGAGGCCAGGGCTTATTTTACTTCAACTCCATAGCTGGAATATGGATGCTTGGACTTGCTGAAATATCAGGAGATGAGCTAGACCAGCAGTGATGACTGCAGGTTATGCTTACTACCAAGGACCTTGCTAATTTGGCATCAATTCTCCCATCTCCATGGCCACAAATGAAGGGCAGGGACTGGCACTGGTGGCTTGTGGGAAGGCAGAGGAAAGAGTTCTCCCAAAGTCTGCACATATCTTGAGCTCAGTCCAAGGAGGTTCCTCCTGAAAGTATTTTCCTGTCGGCATTCTACAGAAATTTGTTTACTGTTGTACGGGATTGGAGGGAGGAGACCTCTGCTTAACACACTGGTGCCAAATGGCCACCAAGAACTCACACTACCTTGTTGACACACAACTCTGAACAGCTTGCTTATCAGACACAATGCTTTGTAGCAAGTATCAAATCCATGGCTATTTAGGATTTGATAGGATAGCTATCACTATGCTGCACGCACACTAGGGGAACCTGGCACTTCATAGACACCTTCCCTCCCCCACGTACTCCTCCTCCAAAAGCACAAGTTCTTACTTGCGCTAAAGGAAAATTGCAGCTAGCAGTCTAAGGCCTGTGATATAAAGCTGAGCAGTTCCGGTCCCATCCAATAAAGGGCAAAGTCACACACACAGTCAGTTCATTATCACATGTTAAGTTTTGCATGGGGATTGGAGAAACAGAGACAGGCATGGTGGATGGGAAGATCTTACACTAATGAAGTTAAGACATGGTGGGTTGAATTTTCATCTGAAAAAACATACAGTAATCCTGCCTCCAGTCCCCCTAACATATGGTATTCTTGTCCATCATCCTCCACAAGAATGCTGGTAACATACTTTGCTGCTCTAATAGATTATCAGCAAGCTAGCTTAGCTGGGACCTCTGGAGATTCTAGTTTAAAGGTCTATCTGGGTAAACTCACCTTCGGTCTGTTCAGCTGTCAGGACCGTGATGGTAATGTTGGTGGAGTCCTGTTGGTCAGCACTGTCTGTGACAGTGAGCTGGAAGACGTACACACCTTCTTGCAGGTTGGAGAGCTCTACTTCATCATTATCTTTCTTTGAGAAAGAAAAACAACGTCATACAAGGAGCTAGCACATCAAACGTGGGGGAGGGAGGGGGAAGGGAAGGGAGAGAGGGAGACAGATAGCAAGTGAGTGTGTCCGCCTGTCCATCTAACGGAAGGTAAGAAGACACCGACTCCCCTTCTGCAGCATCATCAGAAGAGCCACTTAGTTACACCTGAAATAGGCTTCCACATACTGTCATCTTGTAAAACACTTTGGGATTCTTTACCTCTATGGGCTAGATTCTGGCTGCTGAGGTGCTAGGGGAGGGAGATAACACCAGAACCTCAGCACCCTAACAGGCCCCATCTAGATACTGGTGTCCTTGGGGCACTATCCTTGAGATTTGCCAGTACTGTACTCCTAGTAGTGTTACAGGCCCTGAAGATCTTCTAGCCAAACAGGAGTCAGGAGGCATGGGTTCTGTTCCCAGCTCTGCCATGGATTTGTTGTGCAGTTTTGAGAAAGTCAACCCCGTGCCTCTGTTTCCCCATCTGTAGCATAGTGATAAAGCCTTATGTAAAGAATGCCTCAGTGACAGACATTCAAGTGAGCAGTTGTTGCCTTGCATTTACTGGTCTCTGGGCACACCAGCCAGCACATCTGAAAGCTGGCATCAATCGGTCCTGATCCTTGGCTTAAATTAGCTCATGTAGCCTTTCAGGATTCGAACAGGGAGAAATACGTATCCAAAACAGTGATGAAATCAGAGAACAGCCCACTGAGAAGAGGAGCAGTGCTTTAGGGAAGTGCCTCAGGGATACGAGCGAGCCCATTTGCAGGGGAGAAGGCTAGCAATCAGGGTATAGGAGAACCGAACTATGGGTCAGTTACCTAGCTCAACACCACACACTAAGCAGCAGGGGTAGTTATAGCATTTTAGATATGATCTTCTCTCTCTCTCTCTTCCAGCCAAATAGAACAGACATCACACAAACACACAGCTGGATTGTTCACTGCCTGCGCTGAGAGTCTCCTGATAGAGAGGAGAAAATTTAGCTCACGAACTGATAACAGCACCAAGTGAAGACAGAGGGGAAACAAAATATAGAGGATGCACAGGAAAGAGGAAGAGATAAAATAGCATATGGATAGGAAACTGCCATTCTGATGCAGCTTCTTTCCTCCACTCCTCTGTCCCTAACTCAGTCCAAAGAGAGGCAAGATAAAGAGCAGACATTTAGCTGCAATATCAGAGGGAAGGGAAAAGTAAGTGACTCATAAGATTCTGATACTTGCTGTCTACACCAAAAAGGTTGCATGACCTTCAGGGAAAGCAAAGCTGCATTGATTCTGTTCCCTACCTTCAGCACCACAGAGGTGTCACCAAGCAGAAGTTTCCAATCATAACGGACAATCCCATGGTCATCTGTGCTCTCTGCACCTCTCAGTAACACTGGCTCCTGAGGCTGCACTTTCATGTCCATCCCAACCCGGGCTATGGGAGGCTTATCATCTGGAGAAAAAAAGGCAAAAAAAGGGCTTACGTAAGAAGCAGAGGAACTGGGGTCTTGTCTCAATCTGGAAGAGGATGGGAGTGTCTCAGACTGAATAAATACAGGTTCCAGTCACTAAAACAGAAGATTTTTTTATCATAATATGTTTGTAAGCAAGTCACTCTAAGACAGCGAAATAGTGCACACGAGGAACGCCGGGTCAGTTTCAAGGGTCTGGAGCAGAATTATTTCTTTTACCTCAACTATCTCCTCCATTATTAAATGTGACGAGTCAGTAATCCATACTGCAGTGTCCGAGCCAATTGTAACTACTTAGAGAGAGTCTACCTGTAGGAAGAAGCAACAACGGAACTATACCTACAGCTGGGGAACATCCCCCTCCCACACACACACACACACGTGCGCACACAATTTAATGTTGGTGTCAGACAAGGAATCAGTTCAAATCTTATACCAATTAATGCCCTTCAATAACTGTTTTGAAAAAGGTGATATAATTCACGTATTCCATGCTTCCATTCAAAACTCATATTGTCTCCAATATAACATCCCTCCTTGAAAAAAAAAAAAAAAAAATCTTGCATAGAGTACAAATGCCATCCCAAGGACCTCTTCACGTCACTAACACAATCCGGATAAAAAAGGCGACTCTGGGAAGTGTAAGAGACAAAAGTAAATCCTAACCCTTAGAACAGGCCCTGTAAAAACAGAATGCAGGCCATAAAACTTAACCCAATAATTTATATTCAAAATCAAACAATCTACGAAATCATCCAGTCTTGATTTATAATCCAGCTAGAAAAGCCTTATACAGCCGGTCCCTGAGTTGTGGACGGTCGACTTACAACCATTCGCAGTTACGACCAAAGCTGTCGTAAATGGCGGACCCCGAGTTACGCATGCAATCCGCACTTACGAACAGCATGGTCATGTGTAACTCAATGGGGTCCGACTTACGAACGAACTGACTTACGACCAATTGCTTGGTCCGTAACCAGTTCATAAGTCGGGAACAGGCTGTACTGTGTTGTAAATGGTTACTACAGAGGGAGGATCAGGCCACCAAATCACTTAGTAATCTATTCCAATGGTTAATCACTTTCACTATTAAAAATTTACACCTATTTTCAGTTTTTTCTAGATTGGAGTTTCAGCTATTAGATCTTGCCATGTCTTTTGCGGACTAGATTCAATTAAATATTCCTTTGGCATTAAAGGCATCTTCCTCCTGAGTAAATGTTTCTCATGACCAAGTCATTTCTTGGCCGTCTTTTCAATAAGTCAAATAGAATCAAGCTCCTTACGTCTCCCATTGTGAGATGCATTTTCCAGACCACAATTCGTTTCAGCTCTTCTTTGAGCCATCTCCTTTTTTCCCCTCCCAACATCTTTTAAGAGTGTTGACAGAAAAACAGGACAAAAATATTCTAGTAGTCTCTGTGAACCTCTACACTGCCACTATCACCTCACCACTAAGCAATCCCCTGTTTAAAAAGCAAAGCATCACATTAACCTGTTAGCCACAGAATTACAATGGATACTCAAGTTCTTTCCACCACCACATCCAGTACTTATGGCTCACATTCTTTTTTCTTAGACATAACACCTTGCATTTGGTGGTATTAAAATATTTGATGGGAAATTGAGCACAAAGCCATGCATAGCAGTCTGGATAAGTGACACTGACACATCCCTTTAGTCAAATGCACCACTCCAATTTTATTCCACCTAATATTTGATAAAAATAATTTGTAAAAGTGTGAGGTTGGAAGGAACCTCAGAAGGTCAGCTAGTGCCATTCCCCTATTCTGAGGCAGAATCTAAAGTAGCTGGATCACCCTATCAGACAAGGGTTTTGAATCTCCATCATTGGAGGTTTTAAAAACAATTTATGCATATTCCTTGGTAGGCTATTCCTTTACTTAACTATCCTCAGATAAACTACATCTAGATTACAAACCTCTTTCGAAAGAGGCTTTTTCGAAAGATACTTTTGAAAAAGCCTCTTTCGAAAGACAGCATCTGGACTACAGCCAGTACTTTAGAAAAAGCGAGCCACTTTTTCGAAAGAGAGCACCCAGGCAGGTAGTCTGGATGCTCTCTTTAGAAAAAGCACAGTTCGCATTCAATAACACCTTTTTTCAAAAGAGCACTTTCGAAAAAAGGCGTTATTCTCGTAAAAGGAGGTTTTCCATGGTCGAAAAAATTGCCGCATTCTTTTAATTTACATTAGAAAATGCAGCAACAATCTAGACGCAGAGGAATTTTTTTCGAAAAAACCCTGTAGTCTAGACCCACCCATAGTGACAGTTTTCTCACCTAATATCCAACCTAAATCTCCCCTGCTGCAGAGTAAGCCCATTATTTTTTCCTCCAACCTTCAATGGACATGGAGAACAACTGATCTCCATCCTATTGGCTGTAACATATTTGAAGACTTATTGAGGTCTTCCCTCCCACCTTAATCTTCTTTTCTCAAGACTAAATATTCCCAGTTTTTAACCTCTGGACTTAAGTCAGGTTTTCTAAACTTTTCACCGTTCTGGTCACTCTCCTCTGGACTTAAGTTTGGTACCCAAAATTGGACCCAGTATTCCAGCAGATGCCTCACTCATGCCTAGTACAGAGAAACTACAGGCGACCCCCAGCTTACAACCTTTCAACTTACGACCCCCCTACTCCAGCCCAGCGTGGTCTCCGAAGCCCACCTGCACAGCGAACCACAGGGTCAGCCAGTTGCTTGCAGCCCCGGCTGGCTCTGGGCACAGCTCGCACCGCTGGCTCCAGGACACACGGAGCCGCCTCCACCCAGCACAGTCCCCCATCCGGCTCTGGGCCCAGTGGGCTGGGGACTACAACTCCCAGGAGGCAAAGCGGGCCAGGAATGCAACCCCCATTTATAACATTGCGTCTATGGAAAATAAGGGTTCGACTTATGATGGCCTGTCTTACGATGGTTCTCCAGGAACCAGTTAGGTCATAAGTGCCGGGGTCGTCGCTTGTACCTCAATTATTCCCCATTTTGCAGCTATGCATTTGATTTTTCCTTCCTAACTAGAGTACGTTGTCGTCACTAAATTTAATCCTGATTGCTGACCAAATCTCCAATTTATCAATTTAGATCCTTTTGAATTCTAATAGGATCTAATAGTTTCCTTCAATGTGCTTGCGAACCCTCCAGCTAAGGGTCATCTACAAATTTTATGAGCATATTCTACACTTCATTATCCAAGTCACTAATGAAAATATTGAGTAGCACCAGACCAAGGATCAAGGGTGAACCGTAGGGATGTAAGAGTGAAACCACTAACTGATAATGCATCAGCTTATCTGTAACAGTTAGTTACATACTGGCTCCTGGGGAACCAGCTGCTGCCACTGGAGCCAATTTATACTATAAGCTGGCTGCTGGCGAACTTGCTGCAGTATGGGCTCTGCAGAATAAGCTTTATGCTGCAGAGCCTGCAGTGTGGGTAACTGCTAGGATTTTTAGGAGTTACATATTTAACCGTGTTTTTGCATCCCTAGTGAGGATGTAAAATGTTCCTTTCAGGTAGAATGAAAAAACCAACTAGTTTCCTGTCTGGCTATTTGTAAGGCCATGCCTCAGCATGTAGGCCCATTTGCATACAGAGCCTTAGGCAAAAGGACAGGAAATCTACAGACTACACAAACTAAAGACTGGGGGCAGCACTAGCCTTAGTGCTGCCAGGAGCACTGCGTTGTGCTCCAGCAATGATTTAGGGCCAAGGGCTCCAGTCACTGCCGCTGCAGCGACTGCTCTTCCTGCTCTCCAATAGGGATGCAGGACAATGTAGCACTTTAAAGACTAACAAGATGGTTTATTAGATGATGAGCTTTCGTGGGCCAGACCCACTTCCTCAGATCAAATATAAAAAAATTTGATCTGAGGAAGTGGGTCTGGCCCACGAAAGCTCATCATCTAATAAACCATCTTGTTAGTCTTTAAAGTGCTACATTGTCCTGCATTTTGCTTCAGCTACCCCAGACTAACACGGCTACATTTCTATCACTATTCCAATAGGGATGTAATAGTATAGTTGATTACCAGATTAACCAATAAGCAAAAGCTTATAAATTAATGCTATAGATTACACGCATTTCCCTCTCCCTGCCAGCAAATTCTTAGCAGGCTGGCCAGCAGCCTGGCTCAGTTTTGGCTTGCGACGGGTCCGGGACCTACCCCTGCTGCAGCTCTGCATTTAAAGTGTATTAAGAGCCAGGTGGGCAGGCACCCCAGCTCAGTTCTGGCTCTGGGAGCTCAGACCCCCGTAGACAGGGACTGCTGCAAACTGTTCCAGTTAACTTTCTCAGCTAGTGTGATATCACTTTTTCAGTCCATGTGATTCTTCAGCTCCTCTGTAAATGTAGCAATGGGGAAAAGAGTCATTTCTATTTTGTTTCTCAGTTTTTGTATTTTCTTGTAACAGAGTTCTCTTTAAGTGACTTATCTGAGTGGTTAATTAGTTAGCTGTCTGGCTAGTAGTGATCACAGCAGAGGAAGAGTCTGCCTGGATTCCAGCTGAGGCTTCCTACAAGCAACAGGAGGGAAGATGGTTCAGATTCAGCATATTGTGCAGATCTGGTGAGCAAAGACACTCAGGTGAACTAAACCTAAGCTTTTGGGTTTCCTCAGTTTCTTCTTACTGAATTTTGTGTGGACTGAACTGTTCAAATTTTACTTTTGGTTTTCTCTTTATTTATGTGTATTGTAACTGTGAAGATAATGTCTGTGGGCTATAAAATATCTATGTTAGGTTATAAAAAAATAACTTTTTAAAATAAAGTTATTTAATTAAATCAATTTCCTTAGTTCCTTTTGGAACTTGAATGTGGGGAGGCTGACCCTGTGCAATCCTTGCTGAAAATCCTTACAGACTGAACTCTGGGTCTCCAGCTACTTTTCTATGGGAGGTTTTTTTAAGGCACTGGAGAAGGGCAATGAAGTCTGGCCCACCCAAGGTTACACAAGCATTTT